TCGCGAATATTACAGAAGCCAGGAAAAGATGTTTTCAGAAGAGGCGGTAGTAGCAAATGAGGCAAGGCACTTAGAGAAGACTGTGGAGTTGGTGAAGAGCGTGCTCAATGATATGGCTAAGGTAAATTAAAAGTAACCAAGGAAGTTAGTGGTAAAGAAGGATAAAATAAGGAATTACCTTTTTAAAAAAAATCAAGATCTTGTTGCAAAATTCCTGGATCAACTTTTCAATGCTCATGTATTTCTAGTTACATGATGCTAGCAGACAGGATCAAGACATGCTCAAGTGTCAAGTTGGACAGGGGAACACTCACAGACTAAGCTGACCTTTCCCTGACTCTGTGCACAGAGAGTTCTATCATAATTTCAGAAGGCAAATAGGAAAAAAAATGTCTGGAGATGTCTTTTCTTTACACCTAAAATTGAAAGACTTAACAAAGTTTTATTTTCTTTAGAAATGAGAGAGGAAGAGAGAGAGAGAGAGAGAGAGAGAGAGAGAGAGAGAGAGAGAGAGAGCGCAACAGGGAAACAGAGGAGGAGAAGGAAGGAAGGAAGAGAGCAAGGGAGGCAGGCACAAAGGCAGGGGAGAGAAGGAGGAAAGAAGGATGGACAGGGAGAATGGGAAAGACACACAGCAAATTCTGATGCGAAAGATAACAAAAAAGATGGCTCTGCATACTGAGAGAAAAGGGGACATGATCTAGGAAGATACTCACAGGCCTGGCCATTTTGGGCTTGAGTTCCTTTTTTGAAACTTGCTAGTTAAGTGAGTATCTTACTGAGGGAATCACACCTTTAACATAACTGACTTCCTGTTCTCTCCAGCCCTGCCACATAACATAGCCCCTGGCCTTGGCTTCCACCATCCTTGGGTGTTTTAGCCTTCTCCTGTAACTCTCTGTGGAAATACGAGTGACTTTCAAATTAACTTACAAGGATTTTTCATATCATATCATATCATTCATTTAAACAGAGAGAAAGAAAAGAAAAAAAAAAGCTTCTAAGTGTTCCCTAGTTTCTGTCCCAGGAAGGTACAATACTGTCTTACTAAACTTTACTACTTCTGTAATAAAACAACTTGGGGAAAGGGTTTATTTGCCCTAGACTTTCACAGCACTCTTCATCACTGAAGGAAGTCAGGACAGGAACTCAAGCAGAGCAGGAACCTGGCAGCAGAAGCTGATGCAGAGGCCAAGGAGGGATGCTACTTACTGACCGCTCCACAAGGCTTGCTGATGGCCTGATCTCGTGGACGCATTTTCTCACCTGAGGCTCCCTCCTCTCAAATGACTCTAGCCTTCTCCTACTTGACATAGAATATATCACTCTCTTCTTTTTGAAAGACCATACATCTAGACTCTGATTTCTTGCACAATTTAGTAATCTTTCCCTCTTCCCTTGGCTGGAATCAGATGGCCTTTCTGCCCTATGTTCCCGGCTTCTCTGTTTAAATTCAATCCATTCTTCAAGGATTTACAGACTGAGATATTCCTCTGCCTTGACTTTACTAGATCTAGTAGGTTTTCTTTTCCACACATGAAAGTAATTCCTAATGAGAAAGAAGGAAAGGACCAAGCATACTTGACTACCTAGGAGCTTTTCCAAACTTATCTCCACACCCTGAAACTGTGGTATGTGCACCAGTGCAGGAATGTATCAGACCCCTACTTCTAGGTATATAAGGTCATACTGTGCAAATTCATTAATTATATAATGTGTTCTTCTCACACACACTACCATGGTCTATACACTCCTTAAAAATACAACAGCAATGCTAGTCACACACATGGGACCATGATGAGCATACCAAAGACACTGTTTAAGAACCGCGCATGTTCCAGCATATAGGATTTCCCTGGCCCATTTAGACATTATGAGGGAAATTGAGTAATAAAAGAAGCTCGCGGGTGTAAGTCAGACATTAGACCTGAAGCAATCCAGTCTCTGAATAGCTGGAAGAGTCTCTGCTAATTTGTTATGATCATAGAGCAGGAGAGAAAAACAAGCAATAAACTGCTGTCATGTGACTTTGCTGAGCCTTGGGAACCAGTTTCTTAAGGTGGGAGCCTGGACCTACAACAGTACTTGGGAGCTTGTTAAAAAATGCAAAAACCCACCTGGGAGTACCAACACACTCCTATTATCTCAATGTTTAGGAGGCTACAGCAGGAGGATTGCCTTGTCTTTATCCCTTTGTGGATTTAGAAGTAACCTGGGATAATTCTCAGTTACTCACCCGCCTCAAAGCTCAACTACTCGCCTCTACATCCACCAGGGAGAGGCACCATTAGAGGTGTGGAGGTGTCATATCATATCACATATACTAGCCCATGTCTTGGCACCTTGCATTTAGCTATACAAAGTATCTTGAATGGTGTGCATGTGTTGGCATACCTTGAAATAGTTATGTCATTGGCTCTTGGGTGGCAGAACTTCTAATACCAGTACTTCCAGCTCCTTACTGAGCTCATAGTAAGTGATAGTCCCGGAATAATTATATGCTAAGACATTTTCAATGATATATAATAAAGTATAAATTTTATTTTATTTGTAGGATTAATATACTTTTGAATGTCAATACTATAGGCAATAAATATTTGCAAGTAAAATTCACCAAGATAGGTACATTCTCATTTTGTAAAACCTATCAGAAAAATGTCCACAAAGATATAAATGCCTCCAAATGTCACATATCTGAACAACCAATTCAAATGTATAATCTAGTCCATCTATTCTATCAGTTATATAGAAATATATTTTAGTTGATTTATCCTTTACTAATAATTTCTTTGAACCACATATATTACAGCAAATATATTTCCCACAGAAACACAAAGTTAGTATACAGTGCTACATGTTTGACATGTATGTGTCTCCTTTTTCTATTAAGGGGACTTCATTTTGAGTGCCAGAGGTTGGCTTATTATTTAACACGTTACTATTTGCATATATTTTCCCAAATATAGCCACATTTGAACACATGGGCTATTTTGTTTACCCAGAGTTTAAAATGTAGTTGAACGTGTTCTTAGATTGCTTAATATAAAAGTGGGGATTTGTAGTAAGTCATTTAGCACCCAGAGCAGAGAATTAACCTAATGAGGGTTGCGTGTCCAGATGAGCAGTGTCACCTCAAAGATCAGCATCTTCTTCTACCCCTAGGCCTGCAACTCTAGTCACTTTGCTTCGTGTTCAAGGGTATTGGGCAGAAGACTCAGCATGGAAATCACAAACAGGGAAAGTGCCTGCTCTGTACAGATGAGAGGAAGCCTGCATCCAGTGCACATCCCTGTGCCAGCCATGGCAACAGTGCCTCCGTTTTCTATAACGGTTACAATGAGAACATTAACTTCTTATTCGGAGATGTGCCTGTGGGTTCTCAGCAAATACAAATGAACAGGACACATTTTGAAAGGCTACATGCTCTTTTCAAATCCGTGGCAACCAACCTGCTAAAGGTTTTGTGAACCTTTGCTGTTAATACCAGCACATTTTTCCTATGCTGAGCTCCTAGAGGGGAAGGTGGCCATGCCCACAAGCTATTTATGGGACTCTACTTGAAAGCTCTTCTGCCTTTAAAATCTTCTGTAGAAAGGGTCCCTCTTATACCAGTAGCCCCTTGAGGGATGGCCTCTATCTCCATTGCTTTGTTTATACTTTTTTCTTTCATTTGGAAGATGTCAAGTGTCCAATGAAAGAGAAAAATACTAATACTACTGCAAAAATGGAGCCTTTGAGCTCTAGGGTCTCATTTCCTTCCCTTCCGATGAGAACACTTGGACCCAGAGGGCCATGCAGCTCCATTGAGCAAAACATGTCTTGGTGTAAAAAATACTGCTCTGACCACCAATACCTGAATCCTCCCTTCATGTTTATTTGTGGTAGGTCCATGTGGATCAGTTCTTTTATGTAAAAAGAGAATCCTATGTGGTTTTCCAAATTTTACAAGACGTTCTCCCATTTTTTTTTCCAGGTGGTTCTTTTGGCATCCTGGTATGTCAGGATAGATGTGGAGCCTGGAGTAAAATTAAGAACACATAGCCAAGAAATGGCAGTTAGTGCCTGAGCTTACGTTCCTTTCCTCAGTGCCAGACAGGAGAACATATTTCTTTGCTGTAGAATGAGCCTTTGACGATTGCTCAAGTCACGGTAAGTTACTGCACAGCATATAATGGCAAAGCGCCAGACACCAAGAGATGCTGAAAGACTGTGTGTGAGAAAAACCAATCTAGTTTGACTACGGACATGTACTTCGTTCATGGAGTGAGGGTGGGTGTGTACCTACTGTCCCCAATGCGACCCCAAAACATTTCTTGGAAATGCTGAATTGAGTCCAAATAAGACAGGGAGAAAGAGGCATGGAGATTTTTCACAGAACATGAAGCAAGAGTTGTAGTTCAGAACTTTAAGCCTGAGTAAGTCCAAAACTGTGATGGACAGACCTATAGGGAGTTAAGGTTGATCCTCAGACAATTCTAAATCCAAGCCATAAACTAGAAGTCTAGGATAGGACAGCTGTAGGGACACCCAGAGCAAATAAAGTGGAAGCTCGAATGGAAAGGATTCTGGATGTCTCTCTAGTCTTGAAAAGAATGCAAAAGCTGTGTCCACCTTTTCACAAGAAAGACAAAACAAAAATGGCACTCATGGCGTCATAGACCTCCACAGTGTTTCTTTCAATAACAGCACGCCCGGGATATTCTGCATCTCATAAGGTGACTTATGAGGTCAGGGAGAGTGTAGCAAAGCCTCCTAGAAAGGGAATGGGAAGTAGAGAAAGAGTAAGATGTAAAAAGATACATGTCTCAGACATGTATTCCCATGATGGAGACAATCAACATATGTATACTTTTGATACACAATGAACACAGGTTTAAGAACACAGGTTTGAGCGGCAGAAGAGCTAAAGGAGAATACATTTGAGATTCCTAGGGAACCTTGCTCATCCCCTGGCTGAACCTTAAGGACTGAGAGATGAGAGCCACCGAGAGAGAATATGTCTAACACCTGCCACAGAGCCTACCAATTAGTCTAAAGCCATGACAACAAATGATCTCTTTAAAGGTCCTCCGCATCTCCTGGATGCGGAAGGCGTAGATCAGAGGGTCAATCACCGAGTTACACATGATGAGTATCAGGTACATACTGAAGTACGACATAAAGCAAGAGCAATAGACGTTCTGGGGGCACGAGAGCATCAAGATAAGGTGGAGGAAGAAGGGAGACCAGCACACAATAAAAACCCCCAGTAGCATGGTGAGGGTAATGGCACCCTTCATGCTGGTCCTTTGCCTCACAGAGCTATATCTGGGGGACGCTGCTATGCGCTTGACGTGGTTGCGTGCCAGGAGGAACATGTGGACATAGAGAGACACCATGAAGAACAGTATGGTGAAGAACATGGAGATGAGGCAAATGATGACATACTTGGATTCGTAGTAAATGATGAAAACGATGCCGCAGCTTATGCAAAAAGTCCATATGCAGGCGATAATCACCCCCGAGCGCCTGGCCGTCATGATATGGTGGTAGCGCATGGCGTAGAAGATGGTGACATGCCTGTCCACGGCAATGGCCAGCAAACTGCACATGGAGGCCACCACAGAAATGCAGATCGCGGAGTCAAACACGTTGTCAAGGTGACGTATGAAGGTGTCCGTTATCACCAGGAGCTTATTGTTTATCAAGTATATGGTGATGGTCTCCCAGGCGTTGGATATGCTCACCAGCATGTCGGCGACTGCTAAACTGCCCACAAAATAGTACATAGGCGAGTGCAGGTTTTTGTTTTTCACTATGGCCCCAATGACCAGGATGTTCTCCAAGAGACTGACGAGCCCCAGAGTCAGGAACACCTCCACAGCGATGCCCATGTCCTCACAGGCCGAAGACACGTTCTTGACATTTGGTCCTAAAATGTTGTCCTCTGTGGCATTCGGGGTGAGATTCAAGAAATGCAGTTGAAATGAGGAGTTCATGGCTGGAAGGAAAAGCCTCCAGGTCTTGGCATCAAATGGACTGTAAGACAGATTTGTTTGTTGTTGTGTTATTATGGTCTCGAGAACATAAGAGTCCACACCAACACAGGTCATGCTCGCACGCCAAGAGCAAGTCAAGGCATGCCGAAATGGGTGGTCAGACACAACATATTGAAAACCAGACCCCGTTTTGCCTCGTTCTGACTTGTGCTCCTGGTACCTGGAATTCTGTCCGTGTCACACACAGCTCAATGTTTTCCCATGCCTCTTCCATTTACTCGTATTCTGTCAGTCTCGGGTTACAGGAATAGCTTCCATTTCTATGCCAAGGACAGCTTCTCTTTCCATGTCTGATTTCTTGCCCCCCCAAGTTCCCTCTCAGAGCATATCCATGAAGTCTATCAAAACTCCATAAAGGTCCTAGCCAGTCTCCAGATTTTCACATTACTGGGGCTACTGCATCATAGTTTGCTCGAGTGAGCCCAGATTTCTGAAGAACATACAAATGTCCCCTTGAGAAGGACAGATGTACCTGTGTTCTTATCACTAACCAGACCTCTCCTCAAAATCCCAACGCATACTCTTCCGGGGTTGCAACAGACTGCAGCTGTGGTGGCTGAGCTTGAGAATAAGCACGGAGTTGCTACCTCCAATACATAAGCTTCCTTCACAGTATGTTAAAGAGAGAAAAACAACAGTACTTTTCCCTCAATAAATATTTTCTTTAAACTCTGAAGAGTCTAAATTTCCTTGGGTCTGACTGCTAATTTTAATGTCCCACATAAGCACAGTATGAAGAAATAACTGGGAAATGTTAGAACAAGGCAGCCTCAGAGAGCCGTTGTATTAACAATAAGGTAAACCTATTGGGTTGTAATCATTTACAATACGTTCACACCTCAAAGGTATAGACTCATCCTCCTGCAGCTTTAAACTTCACATCCAGCTGCCTCACGATCTCGCTGCACAAACTGGCTTACCCATTCTGCTCTCCTCCATGGAAAGGCGAGCACGATTCCTCGCTTTTTCCAGGCGGATTCTGGGAAAGAGAGTTGTGTCTGTTTCCCGGGCTCTGGCCTTGCATCCCGGCCAGGTGCCCTCACTGGATGCTTCACTCTGCGTGAACTCTTGGTGTCCACCTGGACCGACCTCGGCAAGAAAGCCAGGCCATTCCCAGGACGCAGTCTCCTCCCAACCTAACCTAGCTCCTCACCAGTCTGCCTTTAAACCACCTCCGCCCGCCCAGCTGGCCGCCTTTCTGGCCTATTGGGTTCAGGTCTCCAGCAACTTGCTGCCACCAGCACGGCAGCTTAGGAGTCGTGTTTACAGTGCCACCTAGTGGGTGACAAATCTTTTCCCCTAGGGGCACACAGATGGATTTTTTTCTTTTTCCCAGCTAATGATTCTCTTTGCCTCTCCGGCTCTCTTCCTCTAAGTCACTGATTAAAATTCTGCCCAGCTCCAAGGACCTGATCTGCTCTGTTCTTTGTTTTTCTGGGACAAAGTGGCTCACTGGTATGCCTGCTACTCACCTCTCTCTCTCTCTCTCTCTCTCTCTCTCTCTCTCTCTCTCTCTCTCTCTCTCTCTCTCTCTCTCTGTTTCTCTGTAGGGTTTCTTCATGTAACAGCCGTGGCTGTCCTGAAAAATCTGTACATTCATCTTGATATTATAGTCATTTCACAATGTGCTGATCCATGAGCATATGAGGTCCTTCCATCTTCCAGAATCTTCAATTCTTTTCTTCGGTGTTACACAGGGCTTCCTCGTACAGGTGTATTTCAAGGGATTTGTGGGTTTGTTGTTTTCTGTTTTGAAAGGGACTGTGTCCCAGGTTTCCTTTTGATATGTTTGTTACTGGTGTGCAGGAAGGCTGCTGGTTTGATGTTAATTCTGCATTCTGCCACTTTGCTGTGTTCTTTCTGGATCCAGATTTGTTAGGATCTCTTACATACGAAAGTTTGCAAACAGGATCATTTTATTTCTCCCTTTTCTGTCTGCACCCTTTTTATGTCCTTATCTTGCTGGTTTAGCTGAAGTCTCAAGTACTGTATGAAATAAGGGTGGAGAAAGCAGTTACTCTTGGTCTTGGTTTTAGTGGAAATTCTTTAAAGTTTTTCCTATTTAATATGATTCTAACTATAAGTTTGTCATATATACCGTTTATTATATTGAGGTAGTTTCTTTGTATTCTTAGTATCTTCAGAATTTTACTACAAAGATGTTGGGTTTTCTTTTTCAAAAGTCTTATCTGCATCTATTCTAAGATAATCAAGTGATTTGTCTTTGAGTCCATTTATATAGTATATTATGCATTTATTTACATATAATGAACCATCCCTGTGTTTATCGTGATAAATATAAGTATTTAGAGGGCAGTTTGATACTATATCTATTTAGTAGAATATTAAAAGCGGTTCATAGCAGGGCTTATAATGTACTCAGCAAGGGGTTCTTTTTTTTAAGGATTTATTTATTATGTATACAATATTCCTTCCATGTATGCTTGCCAGAAGAGGGCACCAGATATTGTTATAGATGGCTGTGAGCCACCATGTGGTTGCTGGGAACTGAACTCAGGACCTCTGGAAGAGCAGTCAGTGCTCTTAACCTCTGAGCCATCTCTCCAGCCCCAGCGAGGGGTTCTTGACACAGAACATTATTACATTATTACCAGGCATAAGTTCTGTCTTGTGGATTAGGCTTTATATTCAACCAGACAGCGATTGCTTCCTCCTATAATATCAACGCCACTGCTGTCCCAAAGGACATAGTTTGCCAAGCTGGTTATTATCCTAGCTTGCAGGCCTCCCCATGGATAAGAATCCTGATTCCTCTCCTCCACCAGTAGTGATGCACTCCTCGCCACCCTATGAAAGCTAGCCCATAGAGATGAAGCTTCCAGGTGGCTACTGGCTTGATTCCTCCATGTTCTATTGCTTGTCTACGTGATGTCTTCCATGTGGCAGAAATATGACGGTCTTACCATCAGATTCTACAGACAACCAAAGCCATGGCAATAGCTTTTATAGGTTGGGGGGGGTTGTCTGTGAGACCCCACTGACCCACAAGTAGAAAAAAATGTAGCACAAACCTGTCACTGGACTTTCTGTGCACCAGTCTATGGCATATGGGAGAAAGATTGTCCTCTTGTATGTGGTAACTCCACCTAAACTTTTATACACGCATGTGTACATATTTTAAGAAGTTTATGAAATAGTTGGTTTCCATGGTTTTTTTCAAAGGACTTTACAGTTAGTTATGCCTGTCCTCCCTCCCACCCCTCACCCCACTTACCATTTTCTGCCTCATTATTCGCCTTTCCTTCTTTATACCACCTGTGTTCTACTCTCTTTCCCTTGAAGTCCCATGACTTTCTAGATTCCTGACTTCCACACTTCTAATTGAAACACACGTCTAAAGAAAGGAAAGCTAGATCTACATAAGAAAAAGCATATGGCAGGGTTTGCCTTTCTGGAACTGAATTACCTCACTCAGAATAAGTGTTTCCAGCTCCATCCATTTACCTGCAATTTTCA